GGTGTAGGGTGATTTTGGTCAGTGCGTCCTTCTTTCACGAATCCTTAAGTAACTTGCGCAACATGAATGGCAAAATGGGAAACCAAGTGACGTGAAAAATATTACCACCAGTGAAACACAAGGATATGAAACAAAGAGCGAAGTTCAAAATTTATTAAAATGCCTTGATGCGTCAATGAGCAGTATATTGTGCTCAAAATGTTATCAGTAAATAATATTGTGTCTTTTTGGGCTTTGATCAGGTACTTCAGACTACTAAGCCTCATTCAAGAAAGCGTGGTATGACAGACGAATATTCTGTGATTTTATGCGTTAACTTGTCATACTTCCTAATACCACCTGTTGTGTAATTCATTTTACGCTGAATATTCCCATTTATGGAACAATCCTTTTAAAACAATATTTGTAATTTTAAATATTATTTATCCGTTAAGATAACCTTAAACCACCTTCGTGAATCCTTAATAAATCTGGTATCAGTATGAAAACTACTTTTGTGCATATCAATCAAGTTTATTCAAATGCAGATTTTTTACTATTAGACTTTGCATCTCCTCTAAAACAAACGAATTATTTGTTCAAGTTGCAATTTACAATAATAAGTCACTATTTTATTAACTAACATTTACTGATAAACTTTTTGTTCACTTTTACAGTACAAAGTTCGAAATCATTCAGAGTGTGAAGCCACATGAGATTCATAAGTGAAGAGTAAAAAAGACTAAAACGTTTTTATTTTCATCACCTGAAAACAATAACATTATTTCACTACTTATTGTTATTAGAGTTGCGCAGAGTCCCTCTAATTCATTATTAACAATTACATTCAACATAAAATGTATTTTTCATAAGTGTTCTGAGAATTATCTTCCTTGAAACCACTGAGATGATAGTTGAAACGTTTTGAATATGGGCTGACTTGTGAGTATTGTAAAAATAAGTAGTCAGCAGGAATCGATGAGTGATGTGGTAACAAACGGTATCCTACTGATAGCTTATGCTGAGTATTTTTCTGAATCTTTTACTACAGAATTAGGAATAAATTGACGTTCTGCTCTTAGCGTTCAAATATCTGAATTACATTATGAACAATATTTTGTACATAGTCGAAAAACTGAAAGGTTTTTCTAAGCAAATAGTGGCACATCTGTTTTCGAACAAGTTGTAAAATATCAGCTAACTGTTTTGCTACTGAATAGTACGGGGAACCTGACATATATAACGTTGGACCAGGTGGGAGGTTGGCTTTAAGTATTTTCAGTGAACCTTATAGTTTTGGTATTATTGATCCTGTCTTTCGAATCTGATCATAAACTTCATGACTGAATAACTGTTTGGTTTTCATTCTTGTAAGAGCATCAGAGAGCTGTTTTTTAAACTGTTCTGTTTAATTTTTTCATTGGTTGTTTGCGAGAAGTTTGCTTTATTCGACATTATGTTAATTCATTTTCTCTATGTAGTCTTTTCTGTCTATGAGGACTTTGCCAGCTTTTTTATCTAGAAGGGTTATTACAAGTTCTTTGTTGTGTCTTAGTTGATTTAATTTTTCCCTATGCTGCTTTATTTGGTGGTTTTGAACTTTTGGTTTTGTATCCAGATATTGATAACAACAATGGATTATTGTTAATTTGGATCGCTTTAGTTCCTGTTCAGACGTTGGAGTTACATCATTAGTTTGGGTTACTAAGTTTTCAGATTGTCAAAGAGTATGATGTGTGTGGGTATTTAGTTTGACCTCGCAAAATTTTAGACCCATAGATAGAGCTTCTAACTGCAAAATAGGATGAAATACCTGAAAAGTAGTTAAATACGAACTTTGAATGGTCATCAGGAAACGTTTCGCGTGCTTCGTGTGAGTTACGCAAAGCTGTCCTACCATTCACACATATTGTCAATGGACGTGAACATTGAACGTTTGTTTATTGGAACTGGCAGCCATTGGTAGTCAACTCGAAGGCGCGAATGGTACGATCGCGTGCAAGTTGGAGAAAGGCGGAAAGAACACGAATAAAAGTACTTTATAACTTTATTTGTACTAAACATTTGTTTGTAGAATTTGTATTTGGTCTTGCTTTAATTGCCAAACAATAAAAATTCGTTCAAGGAATACTGGTGTTTTGGATTTAAGTTGAAACAAATACATAGTCTTTATCGGTTCAAGGCGTCTACGTTACAATAGAAACTTAGGGCTAAGTTCCTTGACACCTATTTTAATATATCACCTTGCCATCCAATATTGAAGTGGTTAACTGAAATCCTTGGAACCGTCAGAGGAGAAATACCTTTTCATACCTTCGTGACACCTTTCAATCTGTCGATTTTATACAGGATAGAAAATGATTAGATTAAACACATATGATATTTAGATATAGAATGCCTGCTTCAAAATGTCCTATTGATGGAAACCATATGTTTCATATGAAACATATATACTAACAGTTTTCTAGACACTGTGGAAATCGAAACCCGATCCGGTCACTTGCTACCCCCATTGGCATGTATGTAGTCCTGGTGATGGAGAAGAATATTCTAATCTCCTGATTAAAATCTGAATGAAGAATAGATTTTCATCACTCAGTATTAGTAAAACAATTTCAGCAGTGTGGAAAATTTACCAAAAGCAAAAACTTATGATTGCGTGTGAACTATTGAAATATAATTATAATTTATTTGATTTCCACCAGCTTTTGCAGAAAAAACATATGATGAAAACTAACAAAACGTGTTCTAACGTCCGTAACCAAGACAACGCTGTACATGAGCTTCGAATTCAAAGGCGGATCACCATTCAGCATCATTAAAACGAGGATTTAACAGTGCTTAAAAAAACATTGCCCGGTGCATTGTTGAGAATAGCGTTTTCTAGTCGACCAATACTCTTCAAAACCGTGAAGGACTAGATCCTCCAGTTGTCCATTTATATGTGCGTTTAATAATTCACTCGCTCGTGTGCAGCTAGGCATATCGTTCATTTGACGTAGGTTTTCTCCAAAAAGGTACACGAATAGTATCATGCATAGTTAATAAGAGGTGGAAGTGAGGCATTACGAAGCGCGGTCACTGAACATCTGCTCGATTACGATTATCGCGACTCCGCAGCCTCAGTCCCTTAAGATTCCTAAAAGGTGAAAAGTGCTTTGCCCAACTAACTACCTATCCGACTCATCTGTATCGCTGAAGTTTTGGCCATTGAAACAGAAAAGCCAGATCTCTGTATACAACAAATCTCTTAGAATCAATAATAATTTACATTTCAAGGTTTCGAATCTGTTTGTGAGAAATCACTCGAAATTTCACGTCTCCTCTGTTACGTCATTCAGACCCATGCGATTTATCCTTCAAAGTTACTGGACCAAACCCAGCAGTTCCAAAATCTTATGATTTCTCTACTTATGCATAATTGAAGGACTAGCTTTGCATAGTCAAAATGTTTTGTTAAACCCTCTTCTTTACCTTTGTCATACGTATTTTCCTTTTTCTTTTGTTATATTTTACGTCTTGAATTCATTCCACTCCACTACTAAAGTAATCATCATCGTACTTTTGATTTTTATAGACAATACACGACCAACTTTTAAAATCCATATACCAATTCACTTATTCAATAATTTTTGAAACTTTGCTACTCATTCGCTTCACGTCTACCCTCTCAATGCATCATTTTAATTATCTTAATTCTTATCATATGTTTATCGACTGAGGAACTTATAGTGCCAATTAATGCCATCTTTCCGTAATATAAATACTACTGTGGAGTTTAAAAATGAAGGCATTGGGAAGAGATATTTCTTCTCTGAACAGAAACTGTGTTTTTCCTTGGAAATTAGTGTGTATACTTCAGGACTTTTTTAATTTTATTACTTGAATTCATTGCAGTTCAATTTTTCAATTTCTTCGTTGTTACTATCACTTCAATTTTGATTTTTGATAACAGTAGACCTATTTTCAGAGCTATTGTGCTAATTCACCTATGTAGCAATATATAAAAATCTTGTAATTCATCTTATTTGAATATAAGCCCTTCAACACTGTTACAATAACATTTATTCCTATCAACAGTATATTGACTAAGCAATGTTCGATACCACTTAATGCCATTTCTTCATAAAATAAATACTGCTTTTAAGCTTGAACAAGTCAATTGTGAGTATGACATGATGAATTCTACTCAGCATTTTAGTTACGTATGTGGAGGAAATCCTTCTTGTGAATATCATTCACTCATTGCATTCCGGCCTTGATATGTGTGAATTGTTGTTATGTTTACATTTATATTATTATTATATACATTACTATTATTATACTATCCACTTAATGTTTGAAGCCCGAGGACTCGAAATTTGAGCATACACATTACACCATTACCATCCAATTTCAAAAGACGAATGTGGTGGAGCTTCATGGCTTGTGAACACCAAGTCCTCAACGTTTGAGCGAGTATCTGTCTTAAACTCTCCTCTTGCTAACTATGGTGTGTAATGTTCAGAGATGCTCATGGAAAATGAGTCTCGTGCCTTGAATATAACTAGCTGGAGAGGAGTAGTTGGCTCAAAGTGATAGTCTGTCCTCCAAATATCTGGTGATCATTTGTCTACTGTAGAAATTGATCCATAGCTCAGTCGAGAAAAAAGGATTTCCTAATATTTGTTGAACCCATAAGAAGTCTGAATTGTATTTTTCTGAGGACCATTTAAGGTGTACAGGCTTTTTCACTGAACATTCATTTCAGCAGTGATAAGTGCGAAACAATCGTATATGTGTACATGCAAATTTATTCTCTTTAATGATTACATCTTTAGTTGTTTATTGTTTATGTTTAAGATGTTTTATTTACTTTAAAAGAATAGCGATTATCATGCAAGCAAAAAGACATATCACGTCACAGAAAAGGAACATGATTAACATTATTTCACCATTAAAATGATAAATATCAAATCATGATTTAGAAGCACCAGGTTTAACACCACTCTCAGGCATATCAAACAAACAAATAATTACTGTTATTTGTTCCATATTTTAGGCAACATTAAAGTAGTATATACAATGATGAAAAGGCAGTACACTAGTAACCAGAGGATAAAAGCTTCAACAAATTGCGATGGATACGGTGAAAACCACCATACTACCAGGTCCAAGTTGTTCATAAAGCCAAATATTAGCTAGTGATGCAAAGAGAAAAAGCAAAGACAGAATACATTAGCTGAAATTCATATTCAATAGTAATCAGTTAATACATTTGTGAGAGTCCATTACACTGATATATATTCTAATTTACAGAATGAAACCTGAAGAAATAATTCAACATTACGGTATCTACGGATTCATTTATCAAATAGTAAGTCATTTCTGATGCATATTATTTTCTACTTGACTACTTGTATAGTTTTCACAAGCTGTGGCTACAAAAGAATGCTGTTGTGAATAGCTTCCATCGTTCGCACTTATCTGGATTCATATATGAGTACCTTTCAGTGTGATGGTTTTTCACAGCTCGATTGTTATTATTATTCCTTTGGATTTCAAGTCGAACAGTTCATCTACAGTTCACCCTGTTCTCTGTAGTTGCCTTTACCTGGCTTTAGTATTTCCCCTAAGCTCACATTTCCCTCACTTCACACCATCTCCTGCGTATCACCCTTGAACTCCCTCGGAACTTGCTCCTTCCCATCGTTATTCTACTTGAGTGGTGCCAAGGCGCACAAAGACACTAAAGAGTCCATTGTGTGCGTTTGTGTATCTAATTTATTCCCATTTTCTTCGGTATAATAGCTTAGTAAGACGTCCTCGTTGCCTTGACGCAAGAATTGCCTGCTGCTTATCCGTTCTGGGTGGCCATTTAATCCTCATTATGGAACAAAGTGAGTAACTGTTGATGACTCTTCAGTTACCTGTTAAAAAATCTTTTAGTGAAACGTCACATCAAGTCTCTTGACCAAGTAGAAGCATAAATTTTAAATTAGTGTTGAAAACTGTAGAAAATTGTCCTGTAATGGTGGTGACAATGTTAGGGTATAAACTATTCAGTTGACTTCACTAAATTCGAACTTACACTAATTCGTAGGTATTGAACTAAGACGAAGCAGCTGCCGACTTTCTTCTACTTTCACTGGTTCTGTAACGCATTACCAATTTGCGGTTAAACAAGAAACAAATCGAATTCTCTTAAATGAACTCTTGACTATTGCGGTTGTCGCATAAATAAAATATAACCGAATTTAACCCACGGATAAACTTACACAGATTAGGAATAATCCAAAGATAATTGCCGACGCAATGCTGAAGATCGATGTCTAAAACATACAGAGAAAGATGGCAAGTTCAGATGATAAGTATACCCACGTTTTGTTTGAGCGATCAAACTCACATGATTACTGATATTGACGTATCATAATTACAGGTTAGCGAACCGTTGAGAAATCAAAGTGCACTGAACGGCCATTTTGTTGCAGTTTAAGAATCTTCAAAATTGAGCAATTTTTGAGGTTCAAAAGCAGCACTTTCAGAGTTATCGTAAAATCTCAAACGTCCTTTAATGCAGTGGAAGAGATTTACAGCGCTGTTGTTGTTAGTAATTTTAATTTTCAGTCACAGTTATCAATAATAAATTCTAGATAAAATAAACCAAATTATCTTCATTTTCAATAGTTTAAAGCGTGTGAATGCTGCTAACATTCATTTATTGAATAACTAACTCAATAATTCACGTATAATCCACTCATGAACATTCAATGGTGAGCCAGTTGTTTATATTGAAGTCACATATCTTTTAGTTGTTAGCAAATCCACTAAATGTCAGTAGGGTGCCTATAAATATCTAAAGAGCCTGAGTATTTGCCAATCGCAACACAAGGCACTGAATTCTCGTTGAAATGGGTAGCTGATTTTTATTCCTGCATCACATTTAATGCAGTCCGGATTCAACATCTTCCAATTCTCTATCGCACTAAGGCTGAATGCACAGTTTTCAATGAGTGATGTTTATGTCCACATATTTCAAAGCACAATAAGATGGATGACAGGTTCTATTTGGTCGTTGTTGCTGGAAAATATTCATTGGAATCCGGAATTCACTAGCTTTCAAAAGATTGTTTCTAGACTATCAATACCGAATTCTATTTAATAGAATAACGAGGAAATTCATTCATTGAACAGAGTTTTGTAAATCAGGTGCATTTATAGATAAACTTACATTCGGTTGCATGGTGACATTAAATATTATCAAGATGGTTGATAAAATCAAAAGGGTAGATGATATTGTGGTAAAGACAACTAACTGATCATCATCCATTGATGGTAATGTCAATGCCAACCCCACAGTCGTGATTGTAATCACAATTGTCAAAATCAGTGATATCAATCCATAGAACATGTCAACAGATCCAAAGCCGGCAGCCAAGCTAACAGACCACAGTAAAACCTACAACGAGTAAAATTGAAGGTACAATAATTTTTTAACAACTAGAAGCTACGTGAAGAACAAAATACCTTGAAATATTTCAATCGTGTGACCTTTTTTGGTTTCTCATACACGGCCGATAAGCTCGATCCCAAAGGAGCGAAATAACTGCCTCGTGTTTAGGTTACTTAGACGGTACTAGCAAGTAAGCATTATGGGTTGGTGTGAGTAATGCGTGTTTTGAACAATAGACGAGATCAAGCTGAATTCTCAAACAGGCATAAAAATAATTCGTTTTTTAGTTAATTATCATATTCCCGTCGATTAACTTGGAATATCATCACTCAATATGGAGTGCAGGTGAATCAAGTTGGCCAGCCCTAAATACGATGAAATGAGCATACTCTGAGTTCCTCTACTAATCACTATTTATCAAATCACTTCAAATTAACCCTCAGTTATCGTTGAACCGTACGTACTAGGTGTCGACATATTAACAGACACCGGACATTTCCGTGCCATCAATCAACAGAAACACTACGATTGTCCTAAAATCGGATAATAACTGGATTCCATTTTCAAAGACGTAGACCTCCTGGACTTGGAGGTATAATGGTTAGTGCTTTGACGTTTAAAATCATGGGTATTGGACACTAGCCATTTAGGAACACCATCATTCACTGGATAAAAGGCAAGTATATCCAGCTAACCAGTTTCAAATAGGTTCAAATGTAATTGCTTTAGGGTCCACTGTCGAACACTGTATACGGATAAATTTCCACAACACGGTATAGTTGCGCATTTCCTTTATTCATAAACATAAGCGCAAAGTTAGCTTAATTGCATAGTTATACAACTAAATTGACACTTACTGTACTTCCAAGCAGCAAATGAACACAGAAGACGTTTGACAAGAAGTTTGTCATAGTTATTATTGGAAGTGGTAGAATGACACCGACAAATCTGAAATGAATTTGCAGACACCAGTAAATTAGACTAACCAACATACAAATAATTGAGAATGCTTTTGGTATTTTGAGTTTAATTTAATACTTGTGCATCCGACCACACTTATTCCACCCTCTTTTGTCCTGATAACACTAGAATCTTGACAATGAATGGTTCAGCCGAGCAACTCGGATATGTTCCCAAATCTTTCTCGCTAACTAACTCTAAATGTGTATACAAATTTGAATGTATCTGTGGTGATAAAATTATTCATATGGTAGAAAGAAGGACACACCATTAATTTTCTAAACGTGCACCAAAACGCCTGCGTTTCAAAGGTGTAGACGCTGACGATAGTAAAACTGGATACATCCCATCAATATCGTCCCTGAATTGAACATAATAAAATCTTTAAAAATTATCAACGGAAAAAATTGTTCAGTTTTGCAGGCTTTAACTGAAATAATCACAATCGAATGCTTGAGAAATGGTTTAGGTTTCCACAAACAAGCAGTTGTCAGTCTTTTCTAGCTCTGGTAACTGGATCTCCTTTATTCTCTATTTCATTTGATTGCAAAATTATTTGGGTCCTACTAATTTGTGATTTGATAAAGTGTAACTTTGCTTGTCTTTTCTTTCTGTTTTCTGATTTGAACTCACGGCATTTCTACTCTATTTATTAGTAACTTTTCTTCGCTCTCATCCCTTATATTTAGTGTGTAACTCGTTTATCACTGTAAACAAAGACTGATTTTTCATTATAATAAAGGTCTTCGTTTTTGATGTGGTTGTGTTCTCTGAGCTGGATAGTTAATTTGCGAAGCTTTCATCACCCTACTAGGTGACGTCTTCAGCGCATACTTCAATTTGAAGTGAGCTTTTAGATTTACTTCCAATTCCACGGCCAAATATATGAACAAGTTAAAGGAACACCTATGAGATCGCCAATATCAGGTTTGATTGCAGAAGCAGTGATGCAAAGACTCGAGAACATAATTCTACCAAAGATCAAACCCAAGATTTGGATACGCTACGTAGACGACACATTTGTAATTATCAAAAGAAACGAGTTAGATAAAGCTCACAACCTGACAAACAACGTCTTCAACGACATCAAATTCACAAGAGAAGAGGAATCAGAAAACCAAATCCCATTTCTGGACGTCTTAGTCAAGCGAACAACCACAGGGAAATTAGAAACTCAAGTCTATAGAAAATCAACTCACACAGACCAAATCCTGAATTACAACAGCAACAATCCAATAGCACACAAGAGGAATTGCATACAAACACTATTGAAGAGAGCCAGGACTCATTGCAGCACTCCAACCTCAAGGAAAATTGAAGAAAAATATCTCATGGACGTCTTCCAAAAGAATGGATATCCACGGAATTTCATCAAAAGCCATATACCCCCAAGCCAACCTATCAAACCCAAAGCCCCCAAGGAAAGCACAAAGAAAATCGCCTTACCATATATAAAGGATATCTCAGAAATCACTACAAGACTCTTCAAACCTTTAGGAATTGACGTCGTACACAAACCAACAAAGTCACTCCACTCAATTCTATGTCAACCAAAAGACTCAACAGAGAAGGAAGATAAAACCAACATCATCTACAAAATAGATTGTATCAACTGCGAAAAACACTACATTGGCCAAAGTGGACGTCCCCTTAGTCTTCGTATCCACGAACATAAGCTAGCTGTCAAAAGACATGATATCCACTCCCTCATATCACTACATACAGACAACCAAGGACATCAATTCGACTGGGACAACGTTCAAATATTAGACAGAGGAAACAACAAGAATGCTAGAGAATTTTTAGAAGCTTGGCATTCCAGTGAATCATCAATCAATAGACACATCGAGATAGACAAAATTTATCAACCGATAAGAAAGAAACCTCACACATAATTGGTCGGAGTTTGTTTTTTCTGCGGTTTCGCTATTAAATGGTAATAGATTTTGTTTCAACTTTAACTCTCTAAGTATGATTTATAAACGTGTAATTTTTTTCTACTGCTTATCAAGTTTGTGGCCTCCTGTTTACTCATGTCATGTATTATTTGAAAGTACATTACAATGTTCTGTACACAAGTTAATAGTTTCTGTAGGCTGTAAGCGACTGATGAGAATTCAACGAAATAAACAAAGATAGTACCTTCATATCCTGCACAAAATAGTGTTGGTGCTTTATTTGAATACGTCGGTCATCAGGAGACATGTGCGAATAACGGAATCTTTTGTTTTTGTGTTTTGTTGCCAGTTCGTATTAGTCTGGTTGTGTACTGACTGAGTCAGCTGTTCGGTATATTACGTTTAGCAAGGCCTGGTATAATGTGGCATACTATTAGTTACACCAGACAGCTTACAAAGTCTCAAGTATGAAGATGTCGACTTTGCCAAAGATCACTGCTGAATTTTTATAAGTCACATACATAATACCTCCTAAATTATCAGTAGTATTATTTGCACATTAATAACTGATTAGGAAGGAAAGTGAACGCATTTAGTAGATTACTAAACATAAAAATGATCTTCTGATAAAAGGTACATAGAACTGAGACCACTTTGCGCAATACTGGTCAAAGTAATCTAGGGAGGTCAGCTTTACACTCCGGCACATTTTACGAGCAGCGGTAGTCTATTTTATTCAGCAAATATTCCCTGAAAGCTAAGCCTTGGAAAACAATCGTGTATTTCAAATAGGTAGCGAATCACTAAATATATTACTTAAAGTTAACACTTAATATAAGCAACTGGAAAATACTGAGATCTAGGACAGGACGTTTTGAAATCGTATTCCTCTTACGCATAATAAGTTCAATCTATATTCAGAGGCTTTCTTTTCTATGAAGTTCAAGAAACATAATAGTGCTGTTTGAAATTTCTCTGAAATGTTTTAACTATTAACATTAAAATTCTCTGTATTATAAGTGAATGTTTTTTGGTGATTTGTATTGGGAGTTAATTCAATAGTGGATAAATATAGATTAATATGCAGGGAACTTACCCAATAACAAACGTCATATGAAAATGATGCTTAAAGAAACTAGAAATTATTTGCCTGCAAATCAACATAATATTAAGTATTCACAATGGTAATTCGATCCTACAATTTGGTAAACAGGATAAGTACAGCTGTAGTCGTCAGTATCATAAACACGGCATCTATTAAAATCTAGAAATACGAAATAATCTCTTCAACAAATCATAGAAGATATGCTTACCCAGATATAATATCTGAAAGGGATATCTCGTCGTAGTAGCTTATTCTTAGACGCTTCGAACAGCATTAAATATTCTTCAGAAATTGACATGATTTTATTCTCTGAAATTAGACCAGAAATCTTATATGATCCTAGTTGTGGATTTTAACAAATACAAAAGCTATAGTATTTTGAATAATAATGCCTAATAATTTTACTAGACACTAGATTCACAATTCTTTATCAGTTTCAAGAGGATGATATCTATTTTTTATATGTACGGATAAGCCTCAATCAAGTAAGCGATGTCAATACAACCTTATTTCCGCTTTGAATACACTCAAGTCATGACTGAGGTGCCAAACTACCGTATATCGCTTGAATGGAAACAGAATAGGAACCGGTGAGTTGGACATGAATTCGAGGTTGACATCGAAGGCGATTTTGTGATGTGGAGGAGATAAGAGGAATGAAATGGAGATCTGATGATAGAGTATCAACCATGGGCACGGTAGTTTAGTATGACTCCAATATAGATAAGATTTCATTTTGATAAATCACATGGTGTTGTACAGTAATATTTACTAATGACAGTAAATATTACTGTACAAAACTGTGTGATATACCAAAATAAAATTTCATCCATAATGGAGATATGCTGCTGAAGCCCTATGTTCCACGCGGAAGCAGAACTTATAATAATGATAATTAAGTTTCTGCGGAAATGGGTGATTTACTCTCTATGAGAAACACCATCCAGTGAGGAGTTCAGAAAGGCTACTTTAAACCTGACTATTATTTTACCTGCTTAACGAGAATAATTGGCACGAATGTGTGTATCAAATTTTGTACGTTAAGCATATTCACCATAATAATTGAAATATTGAACTAAATAACACTATGGATATATTTGTAATTCGCACTTACATGAAGTAACTTCTGTCTTCGAATATGAGCCTTTGGAAATATTCACTTATTTTCTCACGCTTATATTATCATGAGTTTTCGATAAAAATTATTAACGCAATTTTATATATAGAGTGATCATAGTACGTTCATAGTGGTTTAATGCTATCACATTTCATATAAAATCACCTTTGTTACAATAGTCGAATTTTGTAACTTATTTTTGAATGCTGTACACACAAACACATAAAACTATTGATATCAAAGCAAAGAGTCAGCACACATTACAGAGTCTTTGTGTGCATATTTTTTATTAGCGAACTTTTTCAAACGCGAAAACAACAAAATATTGAGCGTGTAAAGGTTAAAAGTCACAGGACGATGATTATTTCAATTCCACAAAGTAATTTAGGTTTAAATTAATGATGAAAGGGATTATCTACTGAGGTCAACGATTTCTATGGGATTGTCTACTTCCAAATAGGTAATCTGACTGGGAAACGTGGAATGCTCATTTTTTCAATATCTTCCATACTCACTTCAATGTGCATCTCAAGTATCTGACTTAACCGTTTTAAGGAGCCGCAATAACTGAATTTCTATCATCAAAACTGCGAAAAATAACAGCCCAAACATTCTTCGCAGCAACACTGTGTTTACAAGTCGTCACCTGTGGTATAATTTCAATACAGGTGAAGGACAATCTACCGAGTCCAGCCATTTCAATGTGCATTTATAAATTCCACTTTTCATTTGCAGACAATTACATCATTAGAACGACTCAGCAAACCAACGTCACCTTCTCAAGTGATATCCAGAGAATTATCTTGTAGAAATAAGAAAATTTGTCGTTAACATGGCAGTAATTTTGAGATAAGTGTGTACTAAGTGATGATGAAATAGGGTGATTAGAAGTCACAAGGTAGAAAAATCAAAATTTGGTATCCAAGATGACAAAGGAAGGATGATAATGTAACTGAAATAGAGAAATTATGTGCAAAATCCGTCCCTCTACTTATTTAGACGTCCCAACTAACTTCGTAACAATCACACGCATTTCCTTTAGACTGTTTATCATTAACAAAAGACAAAATCAACATGTAACATTCAAACGTCCAACTATTTGCATTTTTCCATGTTTACTCTCGAGTTATAATGCATCCCTTTGTGATTGTGTGTACGTCGACAATGTGCTGTTTAACGGTATGAGTTTGTTACAGTGAACAAAGGTCATTCTGACCCGTGACTGTCTGGGAGGATTCTAGGTGGGTGATTATTGTGGACAGAGCTATTGATGCCACCTAGTTAGAAATATTCTCCTTGATTCTAAGTTGCCTTTTACAGTTGGACTTTAGTTAACTAAGGTTGTCTTACAGTTCTAGTTTTGCAATTAGAAACTAGCATTTCCTCGTAGCTGCCTCACAGCACTGTTGACATAAATTTTGGTTTTGATGTTATTATTGTTTATTAGAACCGCAGAAGTAATGAAGAATGATCGTCTTTTTCCTGCATTTAGATAACCAGTGATAGCGCATTCAACAAAATCTACTTCAATATTTTCTTAGGCAGCATATCCGAAACACTATATCATGAAGTGATTTCTTCATTCGTTGCAAGAAATGTAGAAGTACACGGACGTCAATGGAAATCTGTAATATTCACATTGGGTCACAGCGATTGATACTTTGCCACCGGGTAATCAAAGACATGAAGTCATGTATCTTATCCCCAGTTCAGCCTATTAAATAGTTGATAATAACTGTTGACTTTACACACAACACACAGATTTCATTTCAAAATTATGTTAGCCCTTAAAAAGTGCATATTCATCAGTTTTTCACATCAATAACTGATTTCAATTTTAATGGAGGATTTCATCATGAGCTGAGATCAGTTAGAGAACCACTGGAAAACCTGGGAGTACTGGACAGCTGTTTCGTCCTAGTTTGGGATTCTTCGGCAGTACGCACCTTGTAGCTCGAAGGTCCTGGGTTCGAATCCCATTGGGTGCGTACTGTGAAGAGTTCCAAACTAGGACGAAACAGCTGTCCAGTACTCCCAGGTTTTCCAGTGGTTCTCTAACTGATGTCAGCTCATGATGATATCCTCCATGCAATCAAACAAAATGCCTACAAAACCAATACTTGAAAATTTCATTTTTAATTGCCTCAGTATTCAAGAAGGATAAATATGCCATGATTTGTACGAAAATGAGACTGTTGTTTCAGTTGTCCTCTCACCATTACATAGATATCACACTTCATGGAAATGAACACCTACTGTTTTAAGCATGCGTGAAACGTATTTTGAAATCTTTAATGACAAGCTAATATATTGGATTTCATTAATTAATATTAAGATATAGTACACATGAGTTATTCTTCCATTTTAGTCAAAAATATTACGTCTTTTTACTAACTCACTCAATCATATTCTATCTGGTGTCTAATTAACCTTGTTTCTAAATTAAATCATCCTTGAATTACCTAATTAATTATCTAAACTTGACAACCCTCATGTACACACAGACAAAAATAATTATACATAAATGCGATTGGACAGCTATGCGAATGAATTCCCCGAAAAATGTTTATTCACCGAAAGTCTTCTCTTATTCATGAATTCTACATGTTCCGTCCACTATATATCTTCAGAAATCTCAGTAGACAGGTGTCTCAGTAACACATGCAATTATAAGCGCCAAATACGGAAGTATTTTAAGACGAAGACATGAAAATTACAATTACGGATTATTTCTATATCCACATATGTATGAGAAATTAAGGTGGATTGACTTTGTGCAAGTCTAGATATCTCTTAGTTACAAATTCTGATTAGTGCTGAGAAAATAGCTTGGTATGTGCATAACAATGAACAAACACTTATTTGTACCACTGGCGTTCTGTAACCAGAACGTCCATACATTTGATGTGATAGAAAAGTTACTAAGGTAGCGAAAGTAATTACATCTGAAGATCCACTCATTCAGAAATTATCGTTAGATTTTATGTGCCATATCATATACGTTCATTATTTCACCATCGTGTAGCTTCTTATGCAACCATGAATATACATGTGGTCTGAAGAATAAAAGTACCAGTTTATTGGTTTAACACAAATCCTAGTGATATCCATTCATAATTTCTTTCACCCTGAATTCAATACACAATATTCAGTTTTCTTAAAACAAACATATACAGATTCGCAAATGAACACGTAAACTCTCAATCTTACTATTTCGTCTGCATGTTAAGTAGTTATCTAAATTAGTTGAAAGACTTAGGTGAATAAAATGTAGAATTCACCCGGTGTTTCTCAAACATCAACATCGAAACGACTCGGAAAAGCTAAATTTATATATGAATGAAATAATGTAATTTTTAAGAAGTGCAGAAATAACAATCGAATTCTACTACGTAGGTATCAAACAACTGTTTTACTTCGTTGACTGAAAGCATTGTGAGTTGATTACAGGCTAGGTGCAAACCAGATCAGGTTTATTCATCACCTAATTATTACCACATCACTGACTGTTGTCATAGAAACAATGACAAACAACTGATATTAGTTAGATGTATTCCTTGTAGGAAATTCATTCAAAAGGCGAGCAATATTGATATACGGAGGGATATGAAACACTCTACTGTCATATAAATAATCGTTGTAATATATGCAGTGAATTCCAGAAATTACAACGAGAAAGAAACGAAATAACGAGTAATTTGTACTTTAAACTCATATCACGCTACGCTATTCTCTCCTATTGATACACATTCTCACGAATTTATTCAAAATTCGCAATGGATAATTCACTTTATGAATACTGACACTCCGAAGTAGCAATGTTAATAGAGAGATGAGTTCTGAAAAGACAGTTATGTAGTTCAGGTGGGTGATTTTGATGTGGGTGTGTTTGTTCACTTGATTGAAAATCTATCGCATTGTGAACCAGGTGCAGAGTATGTTCGCCTGAAGTTCCCTGAAATCCACTCCACTAGATCATCCACATTAGAAAACATTCTACATCGGAAAAGAGCAGTTCCTGTCTAGATTCTGACAGGCAACACCATCCGTTACAGATGGTGTAGTCGTTATTCACTGATTCATTATTTCTTCCAATTGCTTTTGACAAGGAATACTGACCATATATGGTTAGTACGTTCTGAGTTATTTCAAAGCGAACTTATTTCAAAAATGATAAAAGTACTCCAAAACATTGGTCAGGTAATCGCAAAGGAACGTTTCTTAATCGCCTACTGTTAAAGACCTACGGATCTCTAGGAAACTTCCCACTAAATGTCAAACAATTAGAATAACCAATATTGCTGGCATGCTTTAACGCGACTGATTCAACTTTGTTATTCTTTACTTATATGCACCCAACGCATGTTAATATCCACACAATTATGAAGTCAAGTATAGAAGGAGCTCTTACAATGACAATACTGGTGAAACTATTTGAGAATGCAGTCCGGTTTTTGATTGAAAATGCGGTTCTGCTATCGAAGAGGACACTCATAGCCATCATTCAGCGTACATATATTGTAGTTCATATCATTTTTTGACGTTTCGTTCACTCTATACGTGTAAAATCCTCCAAATGCTTTCGTTTCCGACTATGTTTATTTCATCAACGAAAACCCACAAGAAACAACCAGAAGTCGTACAATTCAACACAGAACAAGCAAAGTCTGGTTTACCAGGAGAAAAATAACGCTGATTTGACCGTTAATAATAAACATATTAACCTCCAACTGGATAAAACATCAAACATCGCAACTGATTTCATGTTGATTCACCGAACAATGAGTATTGTTCCTTAGGGTAGTAACCTTCTACGATGCTTTTCACCATGAGAACTGCCATGATTTTGATTGAATTACGTCACAATTGAATAGGCAAACTCAATTATCTCAATGTAAGATAAAATCGAATATGTTCTTCGTTTATTTCATCTGTAACAGACAGTTTTAGAAGACTTGCATGCAACTCCTTCAATATCAATTTTGGTCAAGCCGTCAATTTGGATGTTTCATCTACAAGCTTGAGGAGATATTGGGGTGCCGGAAATGATAGAGTGAATCTGAGATGAAAGTTTTGCTGCTTTTT